ACGGTGTCGGCGATTGCGCAGGGATCTCATTTTGACATAGCATTTTTGTGCGATCCAAAACACGTTACAAAACATGTTACACAAAATGACCTATTCCAATCTACCTACACTCAATTTACAACATTGCTTAACTCCAGTGGTTTGTAACAAAGATTTCACATTAAATATACCGAAGGCTAAAACGAACGTCCGCTATAATTTCTTCCTGGTCAGATACAGCTGTAGAATAAACTACCAATAACACTCAGGTTATGTGAAAATGTGGCAACAGTTAGTAGCAGACTCACCAATTACTTGATCTAACTACCCTAAGCTCTATATTCAGATGGGCAAAATTTCTCGATGAGCTATTCCAAGAGGGGCCCAAAAACTTATAAACACCAATGTCTTCGGAACTAGGCTTGGCTTCAACCATCCGGTGGAATGTTAATACATGAAACGCATATCCCAATACTCCACTTATGCATGTCACCCCTGCAAGGGCACGGATTCTTCTGTACAAATTGATCTGTGCCGCTATAGACACGGTTTCTCTCATCAAGAGAAATATACGTATTATTATTATTATTATTATTATTATTATTATCACTCGTGTCGCTACTTGCTAGAGCTCAGTCAAGACAACATTTTGAGAGGCTACCATCTCAAATTGGCAGAGCAATACAGTCGCTTAGAATGGCGTCCGAGGTATTTTTCCGTATGCGTTCGCCGTACGTAGAGTGCCGCATCGAAATCTGTCATATGTGCTCCCACACTTGCAGAGTTCAAAGCCCGAGTTGACAGTGCACTTATTTCGCTGCACCACCTTACATGACCCAGTACCTATGGATAAACACAAGTGTCTGTAAGAGAGTTCACTGGCGGTCACAGCACAGATTTCGTTCCACCTTTTGCACTTCTCTATGTGTAGACCAGAAGGAGACACGATTTTACCAACATCACATTTGCCGTCATTTCTTAAGGACTGACCTTGGATTTACAGTCTACACTACGTATACTTCAGTGAGTTCACTGGTGTAAACCCAATTTTGCAAACAATTATTATATATTTTGTAGTTTCACCATAACCATCCTGCGGGATCTGTTAAGTATTAACCTTTTTAACTGTATAAAACAGTTTTTCTATTGTTCCTTGATAACCATGGCTAAAATGCGATGTGGCTGCACTGCAGACCCCACCGACAAGGACGAGCAACAATGTGAAGAGCTTGTTACGTCTGTCATTTCAACACGACTGAAACCCATGGGACTGTACAGCGGAGTATATGGCCGTCTACGAGGTGACCTAAGCCTGAGGTACCAAATTTGGTAAATCCATAGTCACGTTTGCGACCACCTCCAGAAACGCAGCCGCAGCACAAAATTGAAGAGTCTTCAGCTAATACTATCCAACTTGTACAGGGGATCTTTTGGAATTTTGTCCTTCGTGGAACAACAAGTCGACAAGAGCTTGTTTCATCTGTCGTATAAACTGCGACTAAATGCACTAGGAGTATACAGTAGAAGTCACCGCCGTATACGTGGGGACTTGATCCTAACGTATGAAATTTTTGTAGGCCCTAGTCACGTTTTTCACCACCTCCAGGAGTTCCGTCGCAACACTAGACTAAAGGGATACCAGCCGAAACTGGTCGCCTAATACAGCCGGTAATATTCCCGCCAAAGTATCAATCGTTGAGCGTTCTTCCAGCTTGCGTCATCTCTGTCACAAGTTATTCATTAACAAGAAAGACTCGATAAAATCTTTATTCTACGAGCTGACCCCTGTAAATTGGTTGGCGACGAAACGTATGCAAACATTATGCTCACTAACCATCACGAAATAGAGGCAAGTGTGTGTTATCATACACATTACGATGAGTCGATAGATCCACTTTCTACCATGTATTGGTAACTGTTTTCTTTCAACCTATGGATTTCAGATAGATCATCCTCCTGGACTTGTCAAACCATAAAATATTTCCCGTGTTATATAAATGTTCCGTTGTTCCACCATAGGGAATGATCTCGGAGTCAGAAAGCATGTTGGTATCTCGGCACTAAGTTTCTAGCAAATCTATTTAATGGTGTCAAACTGAGGTCTTCAAGGGCTAACGTGACGGGAAGAACGTAGCTTAATTTGTCTCATTTACTGTCTTTTATCCGAAGCGGCTACGTCGGAGCGACTGTTAAAGTAATGCGCAAGACAAGAACGATACTGCTAAGTAGTAAACGCAGCCGCTTTTCCTAACTAAATTTATCTTGTGGTGTGGGTGACTTGACAGCGGTCTGTGATTTCAAGTAGTCTTTCAAAGAAGAAGTATGAAGGCCCTCGAACTCACACAACCACGCTATCAAGGTCTGTAGTGTGAATGCCCAGAAAATAATTTTACTGCTCGCAAAATTTTACCTACGAGTGTGTCGGCATTTGCTGATGATATTGTCCTAATCGGTGACTGCTCACAAACGTATCAAGCGGCACTTGACAGATTAGCACTAGCTGTCCGTCACTTCAGGCTTTGCTTCGCGCCCTGGAAATGCAAAGCGTTCCTTCAAGTTTGGTCTGGACTTCCTCCTTCGCTGACCTTTGGTGGGGATCAGCTAGAAGTCGTGCAAAAATTCAACTACCTGGGAAGTTGTATCAGCTCCCGTGGGATTGAGGATGAGATCACGAACCGTATAGCAAAACCTCGGGGCACTTTTGTTAATCTTCGCCACTTATGGCGCCGGCGCGACATCACTTTTGCCCTGAAGGGTAGGGTGTACATTGCGGCGGTAGGTTCGACGCTACTGTGCGGTTGTGAAACCTGAGCCCTTAGATCAGCGAACATAAAGAGGCTGGTTATGTTGGACCATCGGTGCCTTCGCAATTTAGCGCACATCTTGTGGGAACACCGCGTGAGTAACGCGCGTGTTCGACGCCTTGTTTATGGCACAGAAAATGGAACTGAACCGCTCAGCACCGTTATTTCACGCACCAGGCTCCGAAGGCTCGGCCACGTGTTACGCATGCTAGCCCACCGACTCATGCGACGTGCGTTGTTTGCGCGCCGGGGATGTGGATGGAAGAAGAGAAGAGGTGGCCAAGCGATGACTTGGTCGAGAGGAATGAAGGCCCTTACTTCTGTGTTGGCCTCGGTTGGAGTGTCACGGCTCCCTGGTTGGGGTCCAAAAGACGGCGAACACGTTTGGCTGGATACACTTGTTGATTTGGCTAGGAGCCGACCTCAGTGGCGTTCGTGATGTGAGTTTCTTTGTCCCACCCCATCACTCAGCCTCCCCTCCAAGCACGATCTCATTAGTTAGCCTTAGATAATTTTGCATAGTAAATTTTTTTGATGCATAGTAGCCGGCTGGTAGCTTACCGGAACGATGCCCATCCGTTACCGGTATCTCAACCGGTTTGTAAACAGTTGTTTTTCTTCCCCATTTTTCTGTGTATTGCAGCACAGTTGCTGAGGTGTTCCCCACCTCTAGCTAACGTGTATGATGATGATGATTATGTGCCCGCATTTCAAAGTGCATCACTGCGCCTACCTAACGGAAAATGCATTTTCTGGAATTAACGAATCGTCCAAACGTGGACGTACGCATCCCCTACAGGGTCTAATCGTACTGATGAGTCAGACCACGTATTCCGGTTTATCGCAAGGCAACCGCGGACAAGCACTCAGGGCACTGACCTAATGGTCACTGACGACACGCATGCTAAGGGAGCTGTGTAGACGGTATTTCCAATGTTATCGTAGTGGCAATGCAAAATAAGCTTTATGTATCCGCCTGAACACATCTTCAGCACAGTGGGTTACTAAGATGCTTTCAAAATACTTAGTCATATCATCTTCTAAGGTCCAACCATTCAGTCTGTCTGTTCTGTTTACGTATACATGGGTAAGGCAACCTCACTTGCACTTTTAAGTATTGTGTACAGAACTCGCCGTGTTTGAGTATAAGACAGCTACGGTAGTTTCCGATGGTGCGAATTCCCAGTTGTGCGACAACTGTACTGTTTGCTGACTGGAGGGGATGTCTGCATATTTCACACATGAATTATTATTCACTGGTAAGATGATTACTATCTTTGCCTAATGGTACTTCATTGCCTTGTTCTTTCAATCTTGGTGGAGTTTATTTTACTAGAGCCGTGTTATTGTCATGGCATTAATGATAATGTAGATGTTAGCGCTAACTCGCAAAACATGCTTTCCTACTTTTGCACCCGATGTTACACGTTTTCTTCAGGTCCGAAACGTCTTACCGTTTTTTGCACATAAATTGGAGTTGATTCATGTTCATTATTTGTCTTCATTTGATACGCACAACACTTCACGTTTTGTTAGTCTATTAGAACACTGAGTTTCATTTCTCTTCTTTCTGTACCTGGTTGACGCATATCAGGTCCCAAGTGAAGCAAATGATCATTGTCCAGAGTATTAATTCGATTATTTCCAAATTTTTCGGCCACTGTCATCTTGTGATTATCGAATTACGGTGATCAATCGGTAGCAATTAGAAACACGAGCTAGCCGAATGAGGGGACAAGGATGAAAAACCTGGTAAATGCCAAGTTGTTGAAAAGGGCTACTTGACTTTTTTCGGTCATTACAATAGGTAGGTTGTCATTTGTGGACCAGTCGGATTTGAACCGGAAATGAAATTACGCAATGACATATTCAGCTTACTATTGCTTCGTCTCTGTCTACTGTCAGTGAATATTAAAATGAATACAGATGTGGGCAAAGTTCAATGTATTATTTAGATGAAATCCGCTTTTGGTGATCATGAACTCACAACACATATCCGTTGTTTGTGTCAGCGCTTATGATGGGATTGGCCCAGTGTTTTCAGTGTCCTCATTTGCTGGGAATCGGGAATTGGACCAATCAAAACGCAACTCTGTTTCGTTTCCTCCATTATGCTTGCCGTGGCATATGTATCTCTGTGTCTCCGGAACTTCGGAAGTTGCAATTGCAATAAATGGAACAAGCAATTCGGGATTTGAACCGGCTACACCCTTGAGCATGAGAAATTTCTCAAGAACACCACTTAATCCAACATTCCAAACCAGATTTGGTTGGCCACATTTCTATATTACTTTGATGCTGCTCGGATCATTAACCCTTTGCACCATCATCGGGAATGTGTTTGTTGTTGCAGCCGTGCTACTCGAAAAGCATCTACAAGTAAGTTACAAAAGGGATCCAGGGTGTGACATTTTATTCCCTCACCCTAGCATGTGCGACAGCTAAATATGAACTGGCCACGAGCTGTAGGTTAAAAGTTATAAACAGATAGTAATATGTTTGTTTTCACGGAGTGGCGGTAATCGAAATGGGATACTGAAACCACTTGATGGCAATCCTGAAATGAGCTCGGTTACCAATTATGTAATGTCTGCCTAGATTTATGCTTCGACTACCTAACGAATAGCATCGCTGAAGTTCGTGGTTGCTCGATCAAACTTCTGAGAATCAAGGCGTTGGCACATCATCATTAAACAGCATCCATGTTTGTTTACGATTGCTGCAGTGCATGCTTAAAATGAACTAAAAGATAACTAGGTAATACTATGACTGAGAGTCTCGGCACTTTCGTCATGAATGGTTAGTTATTTGTAAAGTCATTCATGGCATGTTTGTTTCGCTGCCTATTGTCTGAAGGCATTCGTCGGACTTAGGCTGCATAGATATGAGTTTAAATTGGCAAGCGAAACGCGAACGATGTTTTGTACCACTGTACATCAATCGCACACCTTGTATAGATCAGTGTCAAATCGGGTTAACCATTATTTGATAGCATTTTTCACGATAATGTCGAAGTAGTCCACACTTTTAAATCAACTTTCACAAGCTAATCACTAGTATATGAAATGTGTATCGAGTTGCTTAGGTGGTGTAAGTCTGCTACTTTTTATTTTCGTAGTGGTCACAATGCGCAAACTGTGAGCTTCGGTCAGAGTGCAGTAACAACCACTCTTCCTGTGAGCATTTTGAATTGACTCTATGATACTGACGGAACTCGGGATTCTGCATTTCCCTAACTTCCACGGAGGTTTGATGGGCAGCATGTCTTCAACTACTGTTCATTAAATTGAATGTGGGACTGAGGGCATTTTCGGATCGTTAACAGAAAAGATCTTTCACTGGAACATCTTTGCGCTCGTTTATATATATGGTTCGAAGGTAGCATCAGATGTGGCTAATGTGGTTTTGCATTGTTTAGACAAATGTTCTGATGACTACCCCCACACTGCTTTCAACAAATCGGTGGACCACTGCACGTATTGCAGTATCCATAAAGATAACGCTATATAACCTCCTTTTCTAAATTCACGGACGCTAATAGATAACCTTTGTCACAATTAGCATAAACCTAAGATCTTATGACCATCAAAAACGGTTCGCTGATTTCTATACTTACCTGATTGGCCCTGCTTTGATTGATAACGTAGTTGATTTTCCACTCCTAAGTTATAGGATTAGACAGGCGCGTAGCCAAAATTCCGTTTAGTAATCCCCACTACAAATAGCAGATTTTGATCACCTTCAACTGACGGTGAAGTCAGAGACCGTAAGTAAAATCATGGATGAAAAGGTAATAAAGTCTAGGAGAAATAAGTCTATCTTTAATGCAAAGAATTGGTGTGAATTCTGTGCGTATACATGTTATTGGTTACTTCACAAGCGTTAATAAGTAGAAATCCCTGGTACTGCCGTTGGGAGTAATTTAAGTACTACAGATGCTTTAACGGATCTTCGTGATACCGTTAAACAGGGAAAACACTCACCATGGGTAGTCTGTAAGTCTGTTGTCAATTAGATGGAGGTTAGCTGTTACGATTTGATCCGGCAAGTGAACTAAAATGATGTGTGTTGTACCTGTACAATGACATCAACAATGACCTATTGTGTATCATTGTACGGCTATACGTGTCCCCACTATAGATCCTGTTACATGCCAAAAACCATTTTAAGAAGGATCAAACAAAAGCGGTTGCTAATAGTATTCGATCTGTATGCACAGCCAGTGTCTTACATAATGCCTTGCCAAAATATATTGTGTGCGTTGACTCGCGCTATCTGTACTAGGGATTTTAATGGTGGCGGTAGGGTTAACATATTTGTGTTTACTGGTTGAAAACAAACTTTCTAAACATGAGAATAATCTCAGGTTGTCCGCGCATTCTTTATCCTTGATGGCGCAGTAACAGTTTTTTCAAACAACTTGACAGGTGAAACACATGTGCCTGGCGCACGCAATCAGCCCTGCAGTTTATCAAATGGTGTCGCTTGTCATGTACCGGTACCGAACGAGACCAGATGCATGTTTACCGCCGTCCGATATGCGGCTTCGTTTTTGATGTCAGCCAACAGTCTACTACAACGTTACTGAACAGTGCGTTAAAGTTTGCATTATTCTTGCAGTAGATAAGTTGCAAGAACATGGGTGTTTCATACACTCGTTGCCACATATTTTGCCCATTCGAAAATTAGAATATCTTCATTATCGGCAGAGCGCCGCTCTGTTGCACGACTGGTGGCTAATAGCCAAGGTAACTGCCACCGTTTAATCCTCTTATAGTTAGCTGCAGGTAGAAACATGATGAAGGATGTTGTGATACTTCACCCAAGGCTCACAATTGGGTGTCATCTTCGTCGCATCTAGTTTGAGTCTGGCACGTCGCTGGAAGAAGGGCCCGAAGCAACAAGGCAGTGATACAACATTACTTACAAACATCTTTTGCCTACAATGTGAAAACGAAAGCAAATAGACAGTGGACTACGAGATGATTGTGTGCATGGAATCCACTTTGAAACCAGAGTATCCGGTTTGCATAAGATGTTCGATATGAAAACACCAAGTTCGCTCACAGCTCTCTAATCACGAATTCTCATCCGTCACCATATTTCATCCCAAACAGCTCCTGCTCTGATATCAGACTTCTACGTGTTGTCAGATTCATTGAATGGAATTCGTCGAACATGCACAAAGTTTAATTTACTGATTAAGAATATTTATACGCATAGCTTTGTCATCAAAATGCATTAAGTCCTTTTAGTAGGCCAAACCATTTGACAGACAGGTCGCTTGTGTTCAAAAACGCCATTTTTCACTATAAATTCAAATAACATTTGTAAGCTATGGTAATGTTTTATGGTAAGCTCCCAGTAGGAAAGTTGCAACCTTATTGCTACATTCGGGATGTCCTGGGAAGGAAAATTACTCGTAATTTGGATGACACCCAAGATTTCCATGCGATTCTAAACCTGGCCAATCATGTAAACAGTTATCCGTGCAACAAATTAAAGCTTGAATTAGGACACAAAACATGTATGACCAACGTCAGCAGAGAGTGGTGTGCAACACGCCGGTGTAAACCGCTGCTGACGTTTTCCGATATGGCTGTACTCGGATTTAAACGCTTGATCACCGCAAGCCGAGTTTCGGATTAGAGTTTTCATTGCAAGTAAGTGCTCACCAGGGGTCTGTACCTCCCACTAAGTAAAAATAATCGTTTGATTGCATACCATCGATTTCCCATTTCTTTGAATCTCTTCTTTACACCAAATGCCAATATTGTGTGGGAACTACTCATCCGGTCATCACAGTAAGCAGCCCACGATATTCGACTGAACCAAATCAGCTCCTGCCGGACATTGAAAACAAGCGCGAAAAGATTGCACCAATGACAGAGAAACAGTGTTTATGATGCGGCTCTTGACCAGTAGACAATATTTTAATACTTCTTTACACCATAGCCCTCAGTTTGCAGTTTCGCCAGCACTTGTCTCTTCCATTAAATGCTGGAATACAAGGTACCTCCCTCTTATTTATCAGCTGTTCACTAAGTATGTGAGAAAAACCATCAGAATTTTTGTCAAAATGAACACCGCGCCGCCCATGAATTTAATTTACCTTATTTAATCCCACGAGCTTCGTGGGGATAAGCGCGTGAGCAGCCGAGGATAGCGCTCTCAGATGGACATTTTACGATGCTTTTTTAAACTAGCTTACTCCGATTGTTACTCTTTGTCTAGTCACGTTTCTTTGTGGTTTTTATCTGAATTCAGTCCTTTTTCTGGGTTCTACTTTGTTTATCGTATATCAGTGTTTATTCTAAGTTTTAGCATGTCGTTTTCCATTTGCTGCTTTACTGGTAGATAGTTTATTTTGTGACATCATATTTGCTAAGTTATTAGTAAAAACCAAGTCAGCCCCTTTAGCAACAGTTGCAAAATCACTGGACAGAGCAAATCCAGTTATTTGCTTTATGTACCATGTGATTTTCCCGCATTTCCTGCTTTAACTCACTCATCAATCAAAGTAAACTCTTCTGTGAAATTCAGCTTGACTTTGTGCAAATATTTCGTACAGTGTCGAATCACAGTGCAGCCAGGGAGAAGTCAACAAACTTCGCTAGTAAGAAATGTAAAAAGTTTCATAGTAAGGAGTTCTGTACCGTCATGCGAACAGGCGGACCTACAGTCACTTCTGTGTTCGAATGAGCCCTCTGGTTGGTCAGTTACACACTCCCCAGAATGAAGTCAAGCAGTCACGTGAAGATCATCTAATGTCCTTTGTAACATCCTACGAACACCAACATTCGGTGGTGCTGTAGTGTAAACTGTATAGTCCAGTGGAAAATGCGAAAGCGAAACAAAGAGTGCGCAACCACCAGCTTTTAGGGGAATTGCAATCGCATGATATTTCATGCACCAGTAGCAAGTGATACGTTGCGACGACGACGTCGTTTTTGTTGAGATGACTGCCAGACTCCTAAAAGTCGGTGAGAAAGGGTAAAGCAATTCAATCATCTGAAAGAGGAGTGTTGTGTAGATGGCCTATACGAATTACTTGAGTCGACAGAGCTAACCTGAGGTGGTAACTAAAAGGACTTTGTAGACTAAAATTTTAGGATCCATATTTACCAAAATGTAAATAAATAAATGAATAAGCATTTTGGTCCGGACAACTCGAGACACGGCCACGTGGGCGGAATCATGGATCCTTAAGGCTTGGAACAATCAAGGATGCTATCATTAAGCTAAAGCGGCGTACTGATAGTGGAAAAACCAATGTTTGCATAGTAGCTTTTCTGATCTTTCCACGGATTCACCGACTTTGTATTAACAAGTCCAGGACGCTTCAAGGTAATCCCACGGTTCATAAGGCGGCCTGCGTG